TTCTGCGAGCTTCCAATAAAGATGTTACAACCTTTGTAACCAAAGCTCTCGCAGCATGTGACGGTGCGAGTTCAAAAGGACGCTTGAATCATGAGGCCTCTTTTGCTTTCTTTTTATGTCAAGCATGACATTTCTTTCCACAAATGCTTGCTTTACTTTTGGCCAATGATGAATTTTGAGGCATGAAGCAGTGTAGTTTGGACTTAAAGTCATTGTCATGAATAGCAAAATAACAACGAATCATTTTCAGCACTGTCAATCTACTGCTGGATGATGACTTCCCATGCATGTTGTTTGACTGCAGGTCAGTGGGGGGCTCAGGGCCAGATCAGAAATGATCACAGATGCTTGCCATTACCGGGAATTGAGCTTGCGACTCTGGGTTCATAGCGCAGTGCACGAACCACTACTCCACTCAACCATCTGTAGAACGTCCACACCTAAATACATGTAAACATCACCCTACTGCCACCTATACCTGTTACAGAAGAGGTGTAACGATTGCAATGTTATAGCTGGTAAATGCCTTTAGCATACATTATATACACATGCACATAGCGTCCAGCCGATGACCAAATCACGTGGAACGTGCCCAATCTCATCAGAACTCAGAAGATAAACGTGGTTGAGCTTGGATGGGTGACCCGTATTCAGGCTGTGGGTTTAGATTGTACATAGCAGAGGGCAGTGCAGCCCTGTCAATTGTTGTCATGTACTATGCTCACCCACGTCTATGCTGTCTTCACCAACACGCACTGACCAGCGGTGAAATATGGCCAAATAATTCCTGTGACTTGCATGGTATGGGAAGGACTTCATAAAGCAATGGAATAAGGAAGTGTGCGTATATATATATATATGAACACTTACACCATTTCAAAAGGACATCATCGTATTACTTATAGGGAATGTGTACCATAATAAGCAGTTGTTTTAGGGAAACACTCTTCATGCTACATTTAAATGTACAAATAGTACCACGTTTTTTTTTAAAGTTACATTATAATTACTGTACATGAGCAAATAACAAATGAACCACACAAAAAAAACAATCTGTTGATTGTGTTAAATTAATCATTCAATAATTATACGCAAGTGTTGTAAAAATCTATTTGTTTTATGAGCTGCAATTACACTGTTAACATGCACTACATAGCAAGTCTGACATTTTAAAGATCTTTTGTAAAATGTTTTTAAATTGAATATACTTTTTAAACAAAAAAAATCCCACCATTAGGAAATGACATCATTAGAAAAGTATAAAAATAATTAAACTCATTAAACGTTAGGGGACTTTTTCTCGCCGTTCTTTAAGGTCATTTGTCACGTTATTGCTTTATACACGGGGTTTTTACGGGAAAATTAGGCTCAGCCTGCATCTCCCACTCTGGCGTGACCACAAACACCGGCTCCATGTGAATCAGCAAGGGCATGTTTTTAGATTTTTGAGCTCCATGACTGCGGTGGTCAGTGTCAGCAGTTTTTTTAAAGGCTCACTTCTGAGAATTTAGTCAATCATATGCCACGGCCACCCCTGTCCATTGCAGTCACTAATACAGCACAGTTAAAGGGGACTGCTGTGATTCTCGTTCTCTGCTTAGCCTGTGACAATACACATTGTAAACGAAACAGAAAAACGTTAGAAAAACGTTAAAACGATTTTCAAACGTTTTTCTAAGACAATGTTTCTTCTGCTAGAAAGCTCTTTAACACTGAATTAATGTTTACAATAAGAAAATTAGCACGAACGTTCATGTAAAAACTAATAATAAATTTCAATCAGCATTTGAGGTTGGCATCGGAGGTATGCCTATAATTTTAATTTCTCACGCAAAATTCTCGCTATGCGAGATGAGATGCATAATCAAATGAGGCCGACCCCAGGCAATGATCAGATGCACCGCTAATTTGGCCAGCTCGTTATCACAGAAAAGCAGTGGCAAGTGGAAATTCCCCAGTGCGGACGAGCGACACCCTAACACTCGCTCAGCGGCACTCTTGCACAGCCCTCATGCGAGATAAGGAGAGAAGGCAACGGACGGAGTAAACAACACCGCCAACACGGCGGAAGGGAAGGAAGGTGAAATGCCACCAACTTGTCGTCTCGCAGACAGCCTGTACCGAATGCCCTGTTGTTGTTCCGACTAGTTTTAGCGCACACCTTGTTCCATTTGTAACTTTCCAAAATTATCAAACGCATGCAGGCAAACATTTTCAGTTTAAGGGCTTATTTCTACAAGTGAATTAGCAAAGTGAAAAAGGTCTGCCACATTTCTTCTCTCGTGATATATTTTGTTCAAGGAAATTCATTTTTACATTACAAAGCAGTAATAGGAAGTCCAGTAATAAAAAAACAGCCAAATATTGTTTGTTTTAAATGTATGTTTTCTGTAGTCCATAATTACTATATTAAAAATGGTTAACAGCAGTCAAGTTTAATTGTTATATCAGCCTAAAATATAATTGCTATGTAACCTTCATATAAACGAAGGAAAAAGATTTAAAGATATTGAAATAAACTATGAAAACGTTGAATTATAGTACTGTACAAATAAATGTTCAAACGATCATTTGAAATACGCCCAAAATTTAAGTTGCAAACACCTCGCATTTATTATGAAAAGTGACAACCAAGTGAATACAAGCGGCGCAAATGTATAAAATAAACGCGGAAAACGTTATTTCGTTGTCATATAAAAACTCCGAATCATGGTACGATTACTCGGTATTAACATTTGTACTTTCCTTGAAAAGTTGACGAACTTGACGAAATAATTATACCACAGTTTCCCCTCGACGTTAAATACGTTCCCACTGTTACAAACGCGCATGGGTGTATTTAAACAGGACGGCATCATGTTAACTCATGGGGGTTTTATTTTTTACGGCCGAATTCCCAGAAAGGTTTGCATAAGCTCGGCCGCAGGCATGCGACACCGTATCGTAGTCCTCCCCGTCCCGGGTGACATCATGCCCATGAGGTCACCCGTGTTGCCGTACGAGGGCTCACCGTCTGAGTGAAAATGTCACCCGTTACTCAGCGGCAGTCCCCTCTAAAGATCACCACCCCTGATCATGTGCTCTACGCTGCACCGTCTAAAGCATGCTTATGTGAAAATCCGTATACGGTTTTCTACATATGTAAGCTTTTAGAAATTTCGTTTAAAATACTTTAACTGCAACGTATAATACGTATCTAAAATGTATATATACATATATGCATGTTTGTCAACTCGAAATATGTTCAACTACAGTGTATAATATAAAGGAATAATTACGTTACTGAATTATATTGGTTTTGTATTTAATACTTAAAGAAATAACATTAGCAGGTCAAATAATGCGCAAGTTCAGAAGTTGAGAAGAATTGCCCCAAAAAATATATCAGCCTATCACGCATCCCATTATTAGTAAATACATAATTTTGTGAAACTATTTAAAAATGAAACATCAAAAATAAAAGGAGCATAACAAAGAAAAAACCCCATCAAAAATCAACATAATATATTTCATACATTTGAACTCTTTTTTTATAGTTTAGAACAACATTATTCTGCCTAACCACACTAATTTTGGGCCCTGCGTGGGACTGAGCCGTGGAAAGTTTGACTAACTGATGACTAATTGCCTACCGCACTATTGGTAACAAAAAAAGAAGTCACCCCTCTCTTTTTGTACACTATCGCTGCTGCAAAGCCTACCCCACCGTTTCCCCATTTCATTAGATCAGATTCCCAGTGCAATAAGTACCGATGTGCAAGACTTTCGCAACACATACAAACAGCATCCAAAATGTTGGCTTTCTCACACCGTTGCATGCTCTTTTGCAGGCCATCTTGGGGAAAATAATTGTTGGCAAAAACTATGGCACAACATTTGAGAAATTGATAAGTGTAAGGAGATTTATTTTAAACACGTTCTTTGCGAAGCAAAAGAAAAACTTAGCACATGGATACGTTATTCTATTCATTTTTGAAGAATGCAACAGATTAAATTGTAACAGTCCACTGTGTACTGTGATATTACATTGTATTTAATTACAATAATTTTATTACGAATTCAAACAAGTATTTATGCTTTATTTTCTTAACTTAGCATTACTCAAAATAGAATATCCCAGATAGCCAAAGCCAAACACCTTGGACAAGCACACTACACACAGCCATATAAAATGTCACCACATTTGGTACTATAAAATGCCTGTTCTTGCATGACAAAGGTAATATGATCCAAGCTTGTAAAGGTGCAACATTCTGTACAGAATCACCCAGCTACAAACGTTTTTAAAGAAAACATAAATGTTTTTTTTAAACTCCCAATTTGAAGTTTTTTTGCACTGCCTTGACCTAAATAACAATCGACCGCCGAGCCCCTGAACGCCTCTTTGTTGAAACCAAAAATAACAGGATAACAGCTCATGGGGGTATAACCCTGGCATGCGGCTGGGATGATGGCATTTAGAAAGGGGGGGGGGGGGGGAGCACACATTTTCACACAAATAGCAGACGCCCACCGACCTTGCGGTCGGCTGTGCGATCACACAGCGGATACAGCAGCCTACCTTCTCCATCCTACAAGGTGCTCTCAGACCACCACACGCTGCGATCTTCAGTCCACAGCATAGGCGGCAAATGTCAAAAACTCCAGCCGTTTTTATCAAGGAAGCAATGAGCCCAATGAGTCACTCCCGCCTCAAAGTTGCTAAGTGCCCTTTATCGCCAAGGCTACTATTTCACTACATATTTGGGGCAACGATAAACCTACGCATAATGACATGACATGCCAGTAGACCACACAAGCCATGTCAGAGTACAAGCTGCTGGATGTTCGGGACAAGCTGGGGCATATTGGATACATTTCTCACGAATTAACTGCGATAGTTTTTGTTTCCTGGTAAATACAGTTATTGAATAAAGAAGTTGTCAATGCTCTACAGATACTAAAAAACACACACGTTAATTTTGTTCACTTTAAAAAAAAAGATGCAATGAGGTACATACCTTTTGTAAGAAAGTAGCCAGCAGGTGTTTTTTTTATGATTTTCTTAGCTTGGTCCGTTGTCCAGTCTGCATCAAGTGCTTCCGCCAAGGTGCAAAACTCTACAGTCTAAAATTAAGAATATAATACATGATATGAAAATGACCTCAAAAGCAACTTTTTTTCTCTAAAAGAACATGCATCGAGAAAAATAATGCTTATATTTTTAGGATTTGCCAAAAATAAGTGTTAACATTAAACCATAATACCACCTTTACAAATAACATTATATACCAAACAAAATACATTATTTTAAACCAATTTTCCAGAATATAACGCAATAGATTGCAATTAATAATTACAACATATAACATTCTACATAAATATATTTAATTTAGGCAATGTATTTGAATGTTGTCCACATATTCATACAAATTAATTGATTAGACTTTCACATTTTTTTACAGAAATTCCTAACACAAAAATTACACATCAGATTCAAGATTGCATACAAAAACCTGTACATGGTTATAAACTGCACATTCTTTTATAATACTTGTAACATATCTTAAATATTAATTAAAAAAAACTACAATTCCAGATGAAAAACATATACAAAAGCATTATCAATAATACACTTTACACATATTTAATGTTTAAGAAAACTTAAACATTTTAGGATTTGCCAAAAATAAGCGTTATCATTAATCCAAACCACTTTTTAAAATAACATTATATACAAAAGCACAATACATTATTTTAAACCAATTTTACAGAATATAATGTAACAAATAACAATTACTGCTGAATAAAAACAAGAAAATAATAATCTTATGCTGTTAAATGTTAGCCGTAAACACAAATCGTTCTATATAAAGCAGTATTACCGTGCACAAGATATTTTACGTTAACTGCAGGCAAAGTCTCATTGTAAAGAAGCCATTCTTTCGCGTTAAACGGCAAGGTGCTGCAGCTATTACTGAACTAAGGCAGTGCGACAAATGCACTCCTTGGGCTTTTACAAAAAATGCTGATTAATGCTGATGCATAGTTACGTGATTTATAAAGCCACAATATTCAGGAACTCACACTTTTGTTAAGAACCAAACCGACCTCCCACTACTCATTCATGCTACATAAAAACTCAAGTAATCTTTTATTACATCATTTAGCCAAGTATTACATTTGATGACATTGCCTTCTGAATATAATATACCAATTTAGGTCTCCACTATTATTATTAGACAATCGTAACATAATATTAAACATAATTCTTATTTAAAACGTGTCCGCATGTAATGCGTAGAATCCTCTCTGGACAGCAGGCACGGGGGAATCTATGACCTGGAGACACATGAGACTGACCACTTCAACAAGGCCCACAGGCAATGTTGATCCATCATTGCAAGCACCTTACCCACACTAATCAGAGGGGAACACATTTTCCCTGCCAACACTGCTTCCAAGTTTAGCAAGCTCACTCACTTCTTTCACTGCATGGGTCTATTTCATACTTGGTCAACACCCACACTCTCTTTCGTGTTATTAATTATTACATAGCGCCAAGGTGCGTGTACTAATGTGTGGCCCACAAAGTATTTTAAACCTATATTTACACAACCATTGATATGCCAATCATGTATTGAGTTAATATTTACAGTGACTAACAGAAGGACACCATACCAATGCTCATTTTAACACAAATACGTTACATTTTATTCTGACGATAATGTATACTGTATACAATCCAGTCCATTGCAATAGTTTGCCAATAATCCTAAAACCAATGTATACATTAATGGGTTTTATCATATAAGTCAGTAGTGCACATCATTTATGTTATTTTAACATATTCCAAACTATTACACTAAATTCCGTAAACTTTAAATCCTAATACGGTTAAGAATTAATAATATCTAGCAAGCAAATTGTAAGCATCCCAAAAGTAAATTTGAAGCATTGCTTTTTCAACTGGAATTTTTTTTGAACATTTTTTGTTAGGACAACTGCAAACAGTGAACAGTAACTTACTGAAACACAGTAATCCTGTTTTGTGCAGTTTAAATAACTGTATTTCAATATGCGCACATCGTATATGATGCATTCTCCAACACTGTGAAAGCACTTACATGGCTAAGATGACAACCCATATAATTTAATATGAGGGAATTGTGTACTTGCCAAGAAATGTGTGCCAACACGATGTGCCTAAATAAGGCAAAATAAGAAAATGTGGGGTTTTTTTTTTTTTAGCCCAAGGACATGGAGGGCTTACAATGCACAAGGGCGGTACACGATTGCAATGTAGGCGATACAGGATTATGACCGACTCAGCGACTGAGGTAATTCCTCCCGTTTACCTTCTTGACCATGGTCGATTCCGACGAGATTACTTTGCGCTTCTTTGCCGCAGGGCCGTCCTCCGCACTCTCCACCTCCACCTTCTTGGGTTTTTCCCTTCAAAAGCACAACGACAGCAAATAGCCGCACACGCTTTAGCCCGCGGAGCATGAGGCAAGCAACATGCCCGCCCACTCTTAACGGCAACATTTGGGACATTTTCATTAAGAAATAACTTGAGCATAAAAAAAAACTTAAAATTCTGCCAAGTGCTTAAAATTGTGTTTCTCTAACAGGATAGTAAAACAGTTATTTTAATATTACAGTGCAGAACATCCAGATGTCATTCAGAATGTGACATGCCCATGTTTAAAGGCAATGCTGAATGATGGCCTCCCACATCGTACAGGTCCTTGATGTTAACGGACGATTCGTCACCAAGCTGGTGCATGCGGGTACATGAAGGGAGAGAGCATCCATCTGCTGCCCAAAAAGTAGCACACCCCCAAAGTAGTCTACAAAACCCTGGTGTGCATGGTGATCGCACATCCAAGCACTATCTAGGCTCAACCATAGTTAGCTTCCAAGATGTGGCTCCGTCGAGCATATCTCAGCTCATTTGGTCATTATTATTGACTGTACTAAATGTGATTCTAGTACCCTTAATCTTGGTTCTTTCGGAAAAGTCACGAAAGAAACAAGAATATGAATCCCTGCAGTCACAAAAGCTTTAAATCGAAATCTAGTACCCTTGTTCAAAATGCAGACGAGTGTATAAACTATCCCCACATGTTAAAGAAATACAACTAACTACATCATAACCAATAAATATCCATTGCAAAATATTCCGTTCTTTAAATTGTAGTATTTCTGAATGAACTTGTCATCTATTTTCTGAGAATGTGTTCAAAAATATATTTTTTTAACCAATGCAAATATTATGAATCATAGAAGCATTTACACAATCAACAGGTTCACAGCAACTTACTCCACGTAGTCATGAATCCCCAAATCGGCAAACATGTAGCCGTGATAACCAAACACATCTCCTGCAAAGAACTTGATCTTACGCTCGTGACAGATGCTATTAATCTTAATCATGACATCCTGAGGGCACCCGGTCAGGCATATCTGCACGGACAGAAACAAAAAAACAAGACAAATGTTAAATTACAGTACATCTAGCTTATGTCATGCAAAAATGTAATTTCTATATTCATTGGGTCTTTCGGTAAAGCAGCGTAGATAGAAAAAATAATCAAAATAATAACAATATCACGACGTTTCGATCGCAACACAAGCAATCGTCTTGTGTTACGTCTAATTTCCTTTTATTATACTTGGAACATTTAGAAATTAGTTGTATAATTAAAAAAATTATGTAAAAAACATATTATACGCACGTTACTCTAACATTATCTTCAAGTCAGCTTATAAAACAGCTTTCGGTCTAAGACTGGAAGGTTTTAATCAACAGTGTATACATGCTGCTGCCCTCCTGTGGCTACCATTAACATGGATGGCGACTGCACGGCATGTTCTATACTAAACACACTTCTTATTCCTCATATTATTACCTGAAATGATATTTGTTAAATGAAATTGGCCTCGGTGGCATTTACAGTGCTAATTATCTGAATATTTCTCAATGTATTGATGCAATGCACATATAACAAGAGGATTACGGCTGTAAAAAATTAAGATAGCATGGCTAGCAATAATACTAAAGCACCTCCCCGGCAATATTCCCCATCAATAAAACAAATTACCAGTTTGGTTGTTTAAACATTGCTTTTTAAGTTAATGTATGTGATTTAACGTTACCTTTTTGGGGAGCAAATCAGACCAGTTGTCGTATCACTTTATTAATTCACCACTGAATTAGGACTTTCCACCATGCGAGTTGTGAGGATTATGGTGAGAACAGGAGCATAAATATGATAGCGCTGCCCACCACATAGCATAACAGCAGCCTACACTAAGCTGGTGTGCATGGTGGTCACCGATCGATGCACGATCCAGACTCAACCGTGCTGAGCTTCCGAGATCTCGCGAGATCGGACACATTCCTGTTGACTTGGTCATTTAACATTTAACCCAGTTGCGCTTGTGATGACCAAAACATTACGAGACATAAACAAGCTCTATTCGGTGACTTTTTTCTTTGAGTTAAAAGGCGGGAACGTAGAAATCACCGAGTCAAACTGGGTGAAGAACTCTTCGGTCTTGCTAGCGATGTCACTCTTGTCCGTCCGCACATCAACCATTGGGTTGAGGTTCTGGGCACGCTCCAACGAGGCTTCAGCCAAGTTCTCTCCAAGCCGGCTCTGTGGAACCAGAAACTGAGCGCGGGTGCTCTCTTCTGTTGCCTACACAGATAGTGGACACATAATTACATTTTCAACATGCAAACAAGGAAACCTACTCCTAGGCAGTTCCACGATATGGGATATAGTTTACTGATACTTTAAAGATTTAGGCAATTCTTACATTAACCATGAAGTAGCAAATTACTTGGGCATAGTATGTCAACCAATTAGTAGAGATCAATATTGTCTGTAACTTTCTTGGGAAGAGAGAAATGCTCCTAAAATACCGCACAGGATTGTGTGCGTTTAAATTCCATGCTGAAATGGTGATGATGCATTAAGTCTTGTGTATGTTCCATAACATTGACCTGTTAAATAATAAAGCCACTTTCATACCAATTTGTATGAATTTGAGCGAGGTTTCCGAATTTGTGGACTTGTCCATTTGTAAAGTGACAAACGATTCTAAAAACATTCAACCTCCAATAATGCACTGGCAATGAATGCTTAGAAAAGGGCACAAAAACCTGTTTACGTACAAAATAAGTCGCGTGTAATTTAATGCCAGTTCCACATATATGACCAACACAGCCAGAGTATTACACAAAGTGTGACTCCGCAACATAACATTAAACAACACGTAAACGTGTGCATGTATTTGTACAAAAGCTCCGAGGCCTTATCCAGACCGCCGAGAAGAACTGAGTGTGTGCACATATAGCAGTTAAAATTAAAAATATGTGTAAGTAGTGCTTGGAATAAAGCTTTATTATGGTACCATACCTTGTTGTGATCTAAAAACGTCACGGACTTCACTCCAGCCAGAATGAGGTTCTTCGCAACCTCAGCTCCAAGCCCTTTCATCCCCACGATCAGCAGCTTGGAAGCCCTCAGCCTGCAGAAGACGATTTACTACTCTTGTATATATGCCCTCATGCATGACATTTTTGTGTATTTTCCTCTGCATGAAAGTTATTTGTAAACGGCTTAATGTACCATTAAGTGTTTTGCCAATGTAGTGACCAGTAAATAGTAAAAACGTATCGCATGCATCACATGTGGCTGGCTGTAACTACTTTTCTGTGGTTGTGAACTAAGGCTGAATCACGTGGCAGACCAAAAAGGTCATTGTTGATGTAACATTGAGTCACATAACTGGCACACAAACCGAAATAGGGGCACCAAATAAATCTGACTAGAGCAGACTTCAAGGGCCTTAACACGAGTTATGTCAATTAAAAGTTTAAGCTGTATGTGTATATATAGATGCGGAAAGTTTATCTGAAATAATGCAAGTGTCTACCTGTTTAAACATGTGTTGTTTATAAACCAGACTAATATAAACAAACATCAGCTAATGCCATCAACTAACTGGATATCCACCCATTCATTCATTCATTCCTCTGCGCACAGCAGTAGCAATGTTTGCAAAAGGCCCTTTAGATCAGGTCCAAGCAAAGATAGTCACAATCATCTCAAGGCCACCTCAAAAACCATGGGATGTTGGCACAATAAGTTGAATTTGGTCCTAAACCGTGGGATTTTGGCCGCAATTTGCAGAATTCTTCCAATGTGGTATTTTTGGTCAAAAGCTCTGGGCAAGCGAGACCAGAAACGTGATGTTTTGACGATCAGAATGTGGGACTTTGATAAAAGGCCATTGTATTTCGGCTCCAAGAATTGTTACATGCCCCCCCACCACCCAAAAACGTGGCATTTTGCCAACAAGCCTCAGAAGTTGGTCACGAAACGTGGAATTTCCACCGTATGAATGAGAGCGCTGCCTCGAAGCGTGGAAAATCTAGCCGCCACCACCACCAACACGCGTTGCTTGCGTTTCAGCCGCTCACAAAGAAAAAAAAGACGTGGGACTTTTGTGGCCAAACCCAGTGGAAGTCCTCGTCCCCCAGGCCCCTTGTGAGGCCCACGGCTCACCTCTTCTGGGCCTCGAGACCCCACAGGCGAATCTGGCGGTCGTACTGAGCCGCCTCCTCCTCGCTGATGGCCGTCTCGTTCTCCACCATGGTCGCCGCGAGGTTGAGGGTTATCTCAACAAAAGACGAGAAGAGAATGAATGGTGGTGGTGGTGGTGGTGGCCCGACGCGGATTTATCGCCGCTGCTTGTGCCACACAACGAGAAGATTTTTTTCCTCCTTTCCCGCCGGCGAACACGCGATCTCGCCACTAATTCCGTACAGCGCATAAGGCGGCGGCCGAGGGGGGGAGGGAGGGGGGGGGGTTGCCCGTGCCGCGGTGATCGCCGCGCGTGATTGGTCCACCCGAGAGCACGTGGTTGACCGTTCGAATTTGGTGGTCCGTTTCGTCTCTTTTTGTGTTGCAGGCGCGTGGCGCGTCACGTCCGGCGTCGTCGTGACGTCGACCGGTTGGGGAGGGCGCGAGTTGTAATTGGGGCGGACATGTTGGGTAGGGAGGGGTGTGTAGGTGGGGGGGTGTAGGTGGGGGGGGTGTAAGGTGGGGGGGGGTGTAAGGTGGGGAGGGGTGTATGTGGGTGGGGGTGTAGGTGGGGGGTGTAGGTGGGGGGGGTGTAGGTGGGGGGGGTGTAGGTGGGGGGTGTAGGTGGGGGGGGTGTAAGGTGGGGGGGGGTGTAAGGTGGGGAGGGGTGTATGTGGGTGGGGGTGTAGGTGGGGGGGGGTGTGTGGGGGGTGTAGGTGGGGAGGGTTGTATGTGGGTGGGGGGTGTAGGAGGTGGGGGGGGGGTGTAGGTGGGGGGTGTAGGGTGGGGGGGGTGTAAGGTGGGGGGGGTTGTAAGGTGGGGAGGGGGTAGGTGGGGGGGGTGTAGTTGGGGGGGCGTAGGGGGGGGGTGTAAGGTGGGTGGGGGTGTAAGGTGGGGGGGGGGTGTGTTAAGGTGGGGGGGGGGTGTAAGGTGGGGGGGGGTTGTAGGCGGGGGGGGTGTTGGTGGGGGGGTTGTAAGTGGGGAGAGGGGTGTAAGGTGGGGGGGAAGTCGCGACCCCAGGCTGTGTGGGTTGGTGGTGGGGGCTGCGAGATCGCGTGACAATGACGTCACGTTTGCATGAAGGACGTGGGGGTGGGGGGAGGGGGGGGGTCACCCCCTCCACCGTAGTAAGATGGCCGCGTGCGACTCACGTTCCACGCCGGATGTTGGCGATGCCAACTTACAGGCGGCGGCGGCGCGTGTTGCGTTACTCGAATACGAACGACTCGAGGTGGTGGTCAACGTGGACTTGCCGCTGTTGCCACGCTCAAGCAGGAATAGCGAGCTCCGAGGGTCGGGGGGGGGAGAGAGTCCTTGCGTTCGTTTACACAGCGCGTCAAGTCGCCGCGGGGACCATGGTTCTTCTGGAGAACGACGTGGTAAATGCGATCTGCGGTGACTGCTTACGTGGCCTTAGAACGGCTTAACTTGAGCGCGTGAAGCCGGCGATTCGTTGCAATGGACGACCTTTGTTTGGTTCCTTGTGGTGTGCTTACGACTCTGCCTCAACACAATCCACTGCTGGATGGAGTCCACCCTCCCCACACACTAAAGCTGTTGCCATATCCGTTGTTAATCGCTTGTATTGTTGTATTGTACCATACTGGACCACGCGGGTCACTGGGAATTGAACCTGGAAACATTTGGTTCCGTGTGCTTTCACCGCCTTCGTTTTAAAACAAGAGTTAAACTGTGTAATGGCTCGCTCCGGAGGTAACAGTGTGGATTTAGCACCCACGTCTCTGGCGTGAAGAGGGGGTTTAAAGAGGAAGCCACCAACTTTTTTGTTGCCTTTCGACGAAATGTCCTCTCGTCAGATCTCTCCGAAGCTAAGCAGATAGCCCTTGGATGGGAGACCAGTCATGCTTCAAAGATGTGCAATAGGCCGCACCAAAAGCAACATTGTTGTTGGGCAGCAAAGAGAAGTAGAGCCACGTCGTTTGTTACTGTGCGACGTTCTAACATCTGTACTGGCCGCATTCACAAACCCCGCCCTTAGCAGTGTGGTGAAGTGTGGTCAGTTTGGTGAAGTGTGACCAGTTTGGTGAAGTGTGACCAGTTTGGTGAAGTGTGGTCAGTTTGGTGAAGTGTGGTCAGTGTGGTTAAGTGTGACCAGTTTGAAGTGTGGTCAGTTTGGTGAAGTGTGACCAGTTTGGTGAAGTGTGGTCAGTTTGGTGAAGTGTGGTCAGTTTGGTGAGGTATGACCAGTTTGGTGAAGTGTGACCAGTTTGGTGAAGTGTGGTCAGTTTGGTGAAGTGTGACCAGTTTGGTGAAGTGTGGTCAGTTTGGTGAAGTGTGGTCAGTGTGGTTAAGTGTGACCAGTTTGAAGTGTGGTCAGTTTGGTGAAGTGTGACCAGTTTGGTGAAGTGTGGTCAGTTTGGTGAAGTGTGGTCAGTGTGGTTAAGTGTGACCAGTTTGAAGTGTGGTCAGTTTGGTGAAGTGTGGCCAGTTTGGTGAAGTGTGGTCAGTTTGGTGAAGTGTGGTCAGTTTGGTGAAGTGTGGTCAGTGTGGTGAAGTGTGACCAGTTTGAAGTGTGGTCAGTTTGGTGAAGTGTGGCCAGTTTGGTGAAGTGTGACCAGTTTGGTGAAGTGTGGTCAGTTTGGTGAAGTGTGACCAGTGTGGTGAAGTGTGGTCAGTGTGGTTAAGTGTGACCAGTTTGAAGTGTGGTCAGTTTGGTGAAGTGTGACCAGTTTGGTGAAGTGTGGTCAGTTTGGTGAAGTGTGGTCAGTGTGGTTAAGTGTGACCAGTTTGAAGTGTGGTCAGTTTGGTGAAGTGTGGCCAGTTTGGTGAAGTGTGGTCAGTTTGGTGAAGTGTGACCAGTGTGGTGAAGTGTGGTCAGTTTGGTGAAGTGTGGTCAGTGTGGTTAAGTGTGACCAGTTTGAAGTGTGGTCAGTTTGGTGAAGTGTGACCAGTTTGGTGAAGTGTGGTCAGTTTGGTGAAGTGTGGTCAGTGTGGTTAAGTGTGACCAGTTTGAAGTGTGGTCAGTTTGGTGAAGTGTGACCAGTTTGGTGAAGTGTGGTCAGTTTGGTGAAGTGTGGTCAGTGTGGTTAAGTGTGACCAGTTTGAAGTGTGGTCAGTTTGGTGAAGTGTGACCAGTTTGGTGAAGTGTGGTCAGTTTGGTGAAGTGTGGTCAGTTTGGTGAAGTGTGGTCAGTGTGGTTAAGTGTGACCAGTTTGAAGTGTGGTCAGTTTGGTGAAGTGTGACCAGTGTGGTGAAGTGTGGTCAGTTTGGTGAAGTGTGGTCAGTGTGGTTAAGTGTGACCAGTTTGAAGTGTGGTCAGTTTGGTGAAGTGTGACCAGTTTGGTGAAGTGTGGTCAGTTTGGTGAAGTGTGGTCAGTTTGGTGAGGTATGACCAGTTTGGTGAAGTGTGACCAGTTTGGTGAAGTGTGGTCAGTTTGGTGAAGTGTGACCAGTTTGATGAAGTGTGACCAGTTTAGTGAAGTGTGACCAGTTTAGTGAAGTGTGACCAGTTTGGTGAAGTGTGGTCAGTTTGGTGAGGTATGACCAGTTTGGTGAAGTGTGGTTAGTTTGGTGAAGTGTGACCAGTTTGGTGAAGTGTGGTTAGTTTGGTGAAGTGTGGTCAGTTTGGTGAGGTATGACCAGTTTGGTGAAGTGTGGTTAAGTATGGCCAGTTTGGTGAAGTGTGACCAGTTTGGTGAAGTATGGTCATATCCTGCACGGCGTGGGCAAGCCATCGTCGAGCAGTGGATTGACATAAATGCCATACATGGGACAGAACGTAAAACGTGACATTAAAAATGCGAAGTAATCGGTTGACTGAAAATGCGTGTTCTCTTTTTACATACTCCGTGCTTCTTTCGGCAAAGTCACATAGAAAAATAATCATAGATCACGACGTTTCGAGGTCCTCTCCCACCTGAGGACGACCGCTTGTGTGGCGATCGAAACGTCGTGATCTATTATTCTGTTTCTTCTCCTCCGTGACTTTACCGAAATAACCAAAGAGTATGGATTCCTGCAGTGACGAAAACTTTAAATTCTTTTGTTACAGTTTCTTAACGAGCTCACCAGGCTGTTCCAAAAGTGCCGTTCGTCTGGCAGCGTCTACATGACCATGAAGAAATGTGAGTGGCTTTGAGATCTCCTTTGAAGTCCAAAATTAACGTGGCAATGGAGTTTGGGGCTCTGTCGGTCACCTTTGTTGGGATTTAACTCGGGTTGACAGACCATTTGCACGTCTCGCTGGCTACAGCCACACTTTGCATCACGGGTTCCAGTACTGGCAACTGGCAAGTACCGTTTATGTCATTTCTCCTGCAAAAGCGATACGAATTAGGCCAAAGTTGGAATACTATTGCCATATCTGGGGTAGAACACCCAGTTCCTACTTCACTGAAGAATCGAATTCAACCTAAAGCAGGTTGATTGACGAAACAGCACTTGTTGATGTATGTCATTTACTGGTGGTCATTTGCCTCCTAAATAATATTCTGTTCCTTCTGCTCTGGTTACTATTCCCATGAACCTCACTCCTGGATTCCATCAACTCTATTGAGGACTCGATCTATCAGACTGCCTGGGTTTTCTGCCTAAGTAGAGCATTGCAAAGTACTCCGTGCTGTTCACCACATCTGCGCCTCTATATAAGGAACGAAACAGACTTCTCCACAAATCTGTCTGTCGCCTGATGAAGCTGGTTGTAATTACTGGCAAAACGTGATACTCAGATTGTAAATGTTGTGGTTTGGCTCTCCAACACACCGGTGTGCTGTACTAGTGACGAATTGGCCACGTTCTGTTTACGTGACAACCCTTACTAGTTGGCTGTGTCGGGTGGTGGCGGGCTTTAATGACACATTTATATATTGACGCAATCTAACCCAAAAAAAACTTGATTATGGATGATATTGGTCACGAAAACCTACGAGTTAAACTTCAATTTCATACTTTCATTTTGTGATATTGACCCTCTTCACCTCCGTAAACCGTGCCCCTTCATCTTCTTTACCTCTTTTCCTCAACGTCTTTCTTGAGCTTCCTTCTGCAAGCATTGCCCCATCTAGATCTTTTTATTCTCCCAGTTTCAATTAAGACTTCTCTCCTCCTGGACTTCACCGTTACTCTTGCGTTCCATACAATTGCTTAGGTTATTAGTAACTAAATTGGCAGCAACCAAGTAAGTCTTTGTCTCCAAAATCTTGTACTCGAGGACTTTGACGAGAGTGTATTTGATATATGTAATTGAAACAGCCACATATGCCCTATTACAACCAACTTCAAGCCGCTCAGTTTAGTGATGCTCCTGTGTTCACCGACCCAATGCAGTCACCCATTAATTATCATTCATTTTCTTCTTTGTCACTTGCTCATAGAAACTACCACAGTCAATGTTTCCATAAACTTCACAAATTGATAACTCTGGCCCTGTCGAGGACTTTTTAGACTAAATGTAATGTAATGTCATACCGTTTCGACAATTCCACTGCAGGATACATTCATATTTCTCCTTTCCTCACACTGCTTGAATTTGAAACTCCCATCGCCGGTTTCCCAATTTGCAATAACCTTGCTCAATTCAAGAAACATATCCTCTTATACTATCATTCGTGCCCTTAGTCTTTGGCTACTTGGGTGGTTATATAGGCTGTTGGGCTTGTGCTCAGCATCTGTGATTTTTAAATGGAGTAGTTGCAAAGCATCACAAGTCCTTGTACTGGTAGCAATTGTGTTCTCTTGGTAAGTGCCAACTGCTTTGCTTATACACCACCATATCCTTTATCCACAGATGACGGCAGGACCAAGCCCATTCCCAAAAAGGGCACACTCGATTCTGTACAAGAACCGGCAGAAAACAAGTGTCTCCTTCGAGCATCGGATGGAAAGAAGAAAATCAGCACAGTGGTGAGAAATGTGGCGCAGTATAAAATGTCATTTTAAAATGACTAGGATTTGCTCCTAGGTCCGTTGCAAAGTAGTCTTATGTAAAACGTATCCAGCCCACATTTGTAAAGTCTTTGCAGCAAAGCGTCATAAGAAGAATAATCCAGAGTGGTTTGAACTTGTAGCTTTGTGTATGAGTATAGTTTACCATGATGTGTTTGAAAAGAGCTGAAGTAGGTTGACTTAAATCTGTCAAATGTGTGGATTGTTTTTACCAAAAGGACATGGGAACATGTCGAATAACAATTCAAACGGAGCCTTTGAGAAAAATTGGAGATTTTAAGAAAGTTGACAAATGAGTCAATCTTTATACCACCTTCCCTAAAGGAGGACCAATACCTGAGAAGTTGGCTGGCTATGCAGTTGAAGGCAGTTATAGTGACATTTGTGATTTTATGTTAAAGTGAAAAATTAAGTAGTTAATATTTTCATTGAGATACACTGATAATCTTAAGTAATCTCATTTCATTTGTTTCTAGATAAGCTCAAAAGAAGTCAACAAATTCCAAATGGTAAGTCAAGACTTTAATTTATTTCAACAGAATTTCAGTCTTTGTAAAGCTTGTTCTGGTTGGTTGTATGTATGTGCTATTCAATTATAATTGTAGATCAACTATCAAGTCATTTACCAGATGCAAGATCAAATTGATGTCACTTGTGATGCATATGGAACACTGCTCTGGCTTAACAGTCCAGGGAATGCATATATTACCTGATAAAGTGCTTAGAGTTTAATTTATTGATGTTATACTATTTCAGGCATACTCCAGTCTCCTCCGTGCCAACATGGATGGACTCAAGAAGAAAGACAAAAAGAACAAAACCAAAAAGACGAAGGCAACTTAGTTGTATAAGTTTACAAACTCGACTGTTATACGAACACTTATTTGCTTGTTTTCAAATCGGTTAAAGCTTTTGTTGGTGTCAATACAGTTTGAAGCTGTTTTATGCTCAACTTACAGCTTTTTCCATTAATCCCATGCATTGTATACATACAAACCTTTTGTTGGCAAACTTTTCCGTCTTACCTCTGCTCTATACTTTCATTTTAAAGTAGAGGTCTGAATTGGAAATGTGCCCCCTCTGATGCATCCATTGTATTAATTTTGCGTATACAATTAAGTTAACATTTTAAAAGCAATTTTAAGTTTAAAATTTGTCTTGTTGTATAAAGTAATTATCACATGTACTGTCATTTGTATTTGTTTGTCTTTGCCCCATGTTCACAAATACATTATAATCAAAAGTAGTACTTTGTGAATTGTGTTTTTATTCATGGTGCTCAATTTCACCTGATATTGCCAAGAGGTTATTTATACTTATCGACCACAGAACTTTTGACACCAATCTTCAATTCTTTGCACCCACTCATCACAGATAAGCACTACAGTAATGTATTAACAAAGAGTAAAATAAGGTCAGCTTATAAAAGGCTATCGCGGTAAGGCAACATGTTGGGGTTGTGTTTTGAGGGCCTGGTAAACTTGTGCATTTTTTGTACTTTGGAGACAAGAGATGTGAAAGGGAGACGGTTTCTGGACAACATGAAAGTGGTTTGGTTCACAGTGTTGCTGTATTACAAAACAATGTATTAGAAGAGGATGGAGATGAAAAGGTTTTTTTCATTTGGGGATGAATGGAAACAAGATGAAGTGAATCAACTAGATTAACATCACACATACGACCTCCGGTAGCTGTTACCTATTTCAGTATGAAGACCCTATGCAAGGATGCATTTCATTGAACCGACGTCAAAACCCAAACCCATACTGTGCATTCCTTGCACTAAATATGTCGTCACATGTTTACAGACCAGCACTACTTGAATAAAATTGTCAGAAGCTGTTCCAAACATGCCTTGCAGTTGCTGTATCAGCATTGTCCCAATAACAGAAAAGGGGAATCAATATTTGCTGACAATCAAACCGGAAGGTGACTATTTTAATTCCTCTTCGTTATCTGGCATAACCATGCTGCTCCTGGAATGAGGATATCCACACGCCCTCTGGTGGTTACAAATGCAAGTTCGAACAACACGGGCCTTTGCAAGTATAGTATCGTCTTTTATATGTGTTAATATATTCGTATTGGTCTTATTTTAATAACTTTCACAACCCTGTTTTGCCGCTGACTTGTGACGGGTATTCAGTGACACATTTGAAGGGTTTGCTTGTGTGCTAAAAGTACCTTATAATGGGCTACAGCATGATCACAATTCGATTTAACGTTGAAAGACAGGCTGGGAGACCCAGATAATTTCATGTTCTCTCCATGGCAGGGTAATTGCAGCAATTAGCTATTGCTTGGTTATATGCCTTGTATAAGCGAATGTCAAAAAGAACAAATGGTAAATGTTTGCAAGGGGATTGTTTTCTATTTTAAGAGCAAGCTCTGTACTTCAAGCACTTCAAGTGGTCATGACTGCATTTACGTATAGATTGTGTTAGAGGGTTTGGTTTTTTTTTTTGTCCGAGCTGTGGGACGTTGAAATTGGAGAACACCAGCGGCAAGTGTGCCTGGTCATGAAGCACATTAAATCTTGACGACTATTTTCATTTTAGCAGGTAAGGCCCACTGAGCTGTTAAAGCTCTTTTTCAAAAGCGACTTAGCCACATGATAGCTCAACGAAGTGACTTATGGAAATTTATAGTAGCCATATACTCTAAACGCACGTTTATAATGTCTCTGCAGGTCTCGAATATTACTGTTTGACGTATTTGCTCCAACGTGATCTCACTCTTGGTTTAACAAGGTTTGATAAAATGAACAAAATGGTCGTCTTTTGTCTCGTGCCTCTCACCCTGTGCCAAGGTGAGACAATAACGGAGAGAAATGTTCTTTCATCATTAGAATAAAATGTATAAGACCTTGAGTCGCTTTCCCTGAAAGTATGCATCTGTTCAAACAAAGCAGCTTGAAATTTCACTTGAATGATATCTTGTAATATTGCAACAGTCTCAATGATAAGGACACCGTTATTAATGCGTTGGTATTGGTTGTGTTATCGCCGGATACATTCCCAGTCTGACTAGAAAAGCCGAGTTATGAATTTTGTCTAGATATTATGTTAATGGCTATAGCTTATTGAACTTGTTATTGTTTAAGTGAGGTTAAACTCATTAAATACATCCTTTATAGTCTTCACACTGTGATAAGGAATGACAAGTTAATATGCGTGCCTCCGGCAGACACTTAAATCATATTGTGTCGTACAGAAATTGGCACTTCCATAAGTGGCAGTGTGCACCCATTGAAAGGTTAATGTGTGACAAGATTAGAATACAGCACTGAAATTTAAAACTGTAAGTCTGCATTGCAAACTGCTATGCTACAACTTTCAATCTTTATACAAATCACATTTAAAATTTGATTGTATAAATTTCAATTACAAGTGGTTTTGGGCAATTGTATTTACATTTTGTAACTGGACTTTGTGTACAACGACACGATCAGAAACATCATTAGCAAAACTTTTAAAATGTCACAATATTTAGGAGGTACTCTATTATGCCACAATAACACGCCAAACATTTCTTTGGTAATTGATCAACAAAATTAATCGTGCAAAAAATTCACTGGAATAAGCAGGGCAATCATTGCAAAAAGAACATTGCATTGATTAAACATCAGCAAGAAAAATAACAATGTCCTTATCTAGTGCACACACGGGCTTTTAAAATGTGTTCTCTTTGTGTGCACTGATGCATGTTCCTTTTGGTTTGACGTATAGCCTACTTGCGAATTTTAATAAGACATCCATTTTATCACACGTGACAGTGACTATAGAGGGAGCAAAACTTAATTGTGACCGTTTCCTTTGAAATAAATGTGAGTCGATTGTAATATTTCACGGTAATGTGAGGTTGTTCTCCAATGCACTCGAAGTTTGGCACTCCGAGAAGCTCCAGAAATCACATCGCACATCTAAGGGGCACTTGGTTGCTACAGCGGCAGTCTCTGCTTTGGGAATTCTCACTTTTTGTGTGGATTTATTTTGGCGGCCGGAGGTGACATGCCTGTCGTTCAGTCCTATGGGAGCGAGGGTTGGGTTGGTGGATAAATTCCATTCCGTGTGAGACTCCCTGTCTCTTGGTATCGACGTGCAATACCGTGGCTTGCCGGCAGAATGCAGCACAGCAAAATGTGGACTGATATCATCTGTGCCTTGTGTATGTGGGATAGTGTTGTCGCCCTTACATCAGTGCCGGATTGTCCTAGTAGCAAAAGTAGCATATGCTTCAGGCCCCGCACTTTCAAGGGCCCCGCGCTAAATGCTTTGAAGCTGTCAATTCCGGTTCAGTGATTCTGCAATTGCTCTATTACTATAGTACTATACCGCCTTCAACTTGTATGAACGACTCGTGTTTAAGGTTATCTATTTGTCGTATTATCTGGCTGTATAGCAAATGAATAAATATAATTACTTTACTACGCAAGTAAAAAAATTGTGTTTAAATATTTATGTTTTTTAGGGCACCTTTATAACATTTGCTACAGGCCCCGCACTAGCTTAACCCGGCACTGCCTTGCATGCGTGGGGGTTTCCAGGTGCTCCGGTTTACGCCGACAGTTATAATAGACAGTAATTTGCTGCAAACATCTCAATTTATAAAGAACTGTAGCGCACTTGTTGGGGCCGCCTAAGTAGATTTTCAGCTTGCATGTTGCTCCTTTGGCAATTATGATGACTTTTTCACGAATGACGCCATAAAAAAAAATCATTCAATGATAATTTTGTTTTCAAATGAGCATTGACGCGGTGGTCATCACGTTCTCAGTCCTGCCCGAGCCAGCGGTGAACATTCCACATCCATATGGCAGAGGTATGTTTGTCCGTCGAATAAACAACTGTTGACTTCCCCACAAAATGGTACTCGTTTTATTGACCATGGAGAGAATGATGGACTCAAGTCAAGCCCCCTCCAGGATGTGCACTCGCCTGCTCGCTTTACCAGAGCCACCTCCAGATATTTTGAATTTGGTGTGGCCTGATTTACCTACACTGGAACTCCAGTGTGGTGAATGCTTGGTTATCTGTCATGTCGGTGCAGGTGGACACAAACCATAACCTAGATATTCGCTTTTTTAATAGAACTCGGAGAGCAACCCATCGCTCTGCAATGGAAAATAAGAGACATCTGTCCGTGTTATACTCTTCTCACAACCCTGTACTTTAGGAGCACTACAAGTAATCTATGCAATAAAATGCCAACAATATAGTGAGGTTTTTCATACCGCTCAAGAATTACATTAATTGTACAAATTTAAAAGTCAGAGCAATTTTAAATGAGCCGTGTCAGTCTTCAGTATTTGTTACTCCCACTTCTTCGGCTGTCACTATATTGTTTTCCAAACTTTTCTTACGTTTTGGTGGCAACGGCTGGCAGCCACTAACAACTGAGTTATTGGTGGGGTGGAGAGGAAGCCAGCCAGCAGCCAGCCGTGAAACTGGAGGCATACATAATTGTTTCATGTGTAATTTATTTTCTCTCTACGTGACTTTACCGAAAGAAACAAATAGTAATTACTGCAGTCACGAAAGCTTCAAATCTAGTTTGTTTCATATGTAGTCCGATGTATTTTCCCCAAATTTCATTCCAGTTGTGTTTTCATTATAGTTTCACAAGGCAACGTAACCATTCAGAATTCTCTCGGATTAGTGCATTACATCTCCCTATTATGTTACAGAAGGGCCCACAGGAAGATATACAACACAATCACTTATCAGAAGTGACCTGTTTATTTTTAATCCGGACTCAGGGGGGAACACTTTCTCACACACTCATCAGAAATGGAACCACATTTAAAGAGCTAATGAGATGTTTGTTTCATGTGCAGTCATCTGTGACCACACCGGGACCACCACTTTGCTTCACTCTCGAACCCAGTTCAACCGCTGGTGGCTAAAACCCATGGGTGAAAAAAACCCGATTTTTCCAGCGGCAGGCATCTGGTTTTTTCTTTAATACAATTAAACGCAATTTCGGGGAATTAAAAACTGGTCAAATGAATACGAAACTCTGATCCAAGGCTTAGGCTGCTTCCTCGTCGGTGCTGCTATCGTACTCGGGGGGGGGGGGGGGCCGTCGGGCACGGGGTAGTCGTAGATTGCGGCGGGCAGGTTGGTCTTGATGAACACGAGGAGCTTCTCCTCCACAATCGTGGGCGCCAGTGAGTTCCTTAGCTTGGAATGGATGAAGCTCATCGTTGAGAAGTGCGGTTCTGCAATTCGAACCAATTAAACCGGATTTCTCCCAATCTCAGATGATCGGGTTTAATATAAAAAGACAATTAACCCGATTGTAAAAAACCCGACTGTGCCACCCCTTGCTAAAACCTGGATTTGTACCCAGGATCTCAGTGGTGGTGGCTCTGTGCAGCCACTCCCCGATGCATTGGCCTCTTCCGTGTCTTTTATTCTGAGAGCTCATTCTGTTCTTCATATCTTATTCATTACCAGTTTGCAGCCCTTCCTACGGCAAGGGTGACATAAGACACACATGATGCCAACCACCAGTCAACTCGCCTGTTCCTCACCTGTGTAGACAATGCTGTGTAGAGTTCGGCGCGCCAGTCGAGATGAAACGGCTCCCACCTCACCCACCGGCACATGCCTATCCATTGTGTTATTTTAAAATGAGGATGTGGGGTAGTGGGAGTATTATTTTAATTGATGGGTCAGATAAGCCGCAACAGGGCCGATAAGCGGAATTATCTGCTAAAATGTAAAAAAAAAATCAGAAGAAGATGCATATCAAACGCACTTTGATACATTTCATCTGCTTATTATATTACGAATATGATTGTCTCATCCTATTTACAGTGTGATAAAACAAGACATCGCATGTAAAATACAACCTTCCAATCCTTCCATGCATTTCTGGAAGGTAGAACGTGGTTCGTACTTTTTTTTCGCTGCATTCGATAATAATGCAAATTCGAATGGAACTGCCACAAAGAGAGCGACCAATTTGTCAAACAAAAATGGGGAAGAGGCAATGAAATGGAGCGCGATAAGGGACGTCTAAATGATGTCGATTCTGGCCACTTAATGCCACCTAATTCATATGCAGGAATCGCTCTCATTTGATTGATCCTTTAAAAAGGGCTGGTTATGAACCAATGTGCCTTCGATCATGTGCAATAAAAGTTCGGTGAGCCTAGGCAAACAAAAAATAACGAGACAAAGGAGTTTGGCAATCGAGCAGCGAGGAATATTCTTTGAGTTGGGTTACGTCCCACAGCTAGTCAAACAGTTGAACAATAACGATAATAAAAGCCATAACCTTGATTTTATATTGAATAATTCATTCATATTGAGACGTTATTATTACACTGTAGCATTTAACCTGTATATCCGTTTTGTTAATGTACTGCTGGTTGAGTGCCCCCCCCCCCATACCTGCATGGATTGCGAAGGTTATTTGACCATACTTCACCACGCTGGTCAGTGCGGATTGAAAAATGTGTGGGAGCATATACAGTACCTGGATTTTTTTTATTGCACGGTGCAACAATGGATTGTGTTATTGCAGAGTTCAACAATTGCATTTGTTATTGCACAGTGCAACAATGGATTGTGTTATTGCACAGTGCAACAATGGATTGTGTTATTGCAGAGTTCAACAATTGCATTTGTTATTGCACAGTGCAACAAGGTATTTTGTTCTTGCAACAATGCATTGTGTTATTATACATTGCAACAATGGATTTTGTTATTGCACAGTGCAAGAATGGATTTTGTTATTGCACAGTTCAACAATTGATTGTGTTATTGCACGGTGTAACAATGGATTTTGTTATTGCACAGTGCAACAATGGAATTTGTTATTGCACAGTTCAACAATTGATTGTGTTATTGCACAGTGCAACAATGGGATTTATGTTTGCACAGTGGGCCTTACCTGGTAAACGTAAACATAGTTTAGTTTTACAATCGCAAGCTTGATGACGTGTTTTATTTGGTGGATAAGCACTATTCAGGCTCAAGACCTGCTTAGCTTCCAAGATCTGACGAAATCCGTTGAATTCTGGGTGATCTTGTCATTACACTATACATACATTAATATTTTACAGAGTATTTCATTTCCAGAATTTCAGAAATTTTGCAGCGACAGACTAACTTAATAATTTTCTGCATGAAAGCTCAGCACAAATTCACTCGGCACAATGACGTTTTCCATTTAAAGGACATTGTATTACATCTAACATAAAAATACAAAGGCTCAAGGGTAATTTTCAACAAATCACAGTCATTCTGAAGATGGCATTCAGATTTTTAACATAAAAGCGAACACAAGAACAAATGTACACATCTGTTTTCAATTGAACTCAAGGGGAAAAAACATACACGTGCATGCACATATTACACATTTGACTTTGTACAATATTTGTATGTGTTTTTTTTACATTAGCATAGCACTAAAATAGGCCACCAAGAGTTTGTATTTATTGAAATCTGCTTAGCGGTTCTCATTAAAGCTGAAACAATGCACGGAGTTTGTATTAGTGTAATGGCAGGAAAATAGGGTTAATCAACTCGCCCTCCCGTTAATGCTCCCTTTTTAAAATCACACACACGGTGGTGGAGTGTGTTAGTGTGCGCACTATTTACATTCTGCAACAGTAATACACTGGATACCACCACTCACCAATGTTAGAAAGTGTGTATGATTACATGATTTATATTCTTGCCCAAAATATTGTGTTGAATAATACCTTGTTTTTTACACGCAAATGTAACGATTAACTAAAAGCAATTTGTTACATGACAAAATTTCTATAATATATTTATAGAATGAAATTAGATCATTGGCTCATTTGCGCCTTTACTCTGAAACTAATGCCGTTTAGCGAATGACAAATTACTTAATAAACTCAGGAATGAAGGTTGTCCATTTAATATGTTGTATGCCCATAACTCAGTTGCCTGATCAGGTCGTGGAATATCACGAAAGTCACCAAAGTTCAGACGGCAAGCCTAAATGTAAGGCACTTGAAAAATGGCAGGCATCTTAAAACAGCACAAATGGACGGCACCAAACAAGAGAAATAATTCCCCAAACATCACACGATTTTTTGCGAGTGTAATTTTTCATTGCTAGGGCAGTACTTGTTGACAGAGATTACATGCAACTTGAGGTTTGTATTTATTTATTCGGAGCCTATTAGCTTTCCCAGCAACAATTTGCTTGTAGTGATTTTATTTTTTATTTCAGAGCGACTCAAAGGCACGTTTCGCCCAAACGGGGCACTGACCCAAACACCATTGAGTCATGACCTCGAGTTCAAAGACTCACGCCGGGGTCACTAACCTTGAGGGGGGCCTGGGGGAACAGGGAGGCTGTGAGATTCCGCTGTTGTGAGCCAACAAAAAGACTACGTGGGCACCAGGTGTTGTGGGGGAGCGAGAGCAGATGCCTGCAGCAAAGTATGTGCAGTCACTCGAATCGGTGCGAACGATAAATAACGCGGACAGGAAAAATAGCAGTACAACAAAGTACACGTGCATGCATGAGTCGGCAGCCGTAACAACAAAACAACACCGATTTAGCAAAATACAAACCAAATGGTTAAATCGTTTTACCAAACCAAACAGAAAATGGAAAACGAAGAAAGCAACGAATTCTAAACGCATTAATCGAGCTAAAATGTTAAGGAACTCAATAACCAAGAACGGCGTGCAGATGGGCGTTAAGAACACGCTCTCTTTACACGTGCAATTAGTCGCGCCTGAGATATTGACTTATTTCGCGCACAATGCACCAGCGCGGCTAATGTTCCGGGAGGTATAATAGTGGCTCGTGGCACGAGCACCTCATCAGCGTCTCCCGGTGTCATGCGAGCAGCAGGAGATGAAAGTGGGTGGACACAATGCATTCACTTAGGCCAACTCAAAATGCTTTTGGAATGTACTATTATCGCAGGCTTGCACATCAAAGTGCATTTTTTTTTTGTTCCAAAAAAATTAATGGCATGAAGCTCTTTCATGTGGGTGCTCATATTTCTGTTCAGTCATTAAAGCAATACGACTTGTTGCTCTTGCGTTTCAGATGAATCTCCCAACACTTTTATACAGACGAGACCCCCGCACAAAAGTGATTTACCAGCTCAGACCATCACAGGAACCGTACCAACAATATTGTGTTTTATTTACCACTTAATAAACTGATATTTAAGCCGGTAAAAAAGTCGTGGTGTGTGTGTTGTAACCAGAGGTTTAAAGATGCATTGATTCGTAAACAAAAACAATCCGATTTGGAAGCTACGTGCATTCAATCGCGCCCATAGGAATGTCTATTTTTCAGTTTATATGTCTTGCATGTAATGGTTTCAAATGACCCCTGCAGCCACTAGTGGCGTTACCGTTCATTGCAAAACAATTATGGTTATTGAATAGAATTTCGAGCATGAATCGGGATAGTTCAACAAATCACTGGGGGTGGAGGACGAATCGTTCCACCACTAATCGTTTACGACTGTGTGCAGATTTGTTGGAATAAACAAAAACTGTACACTACAGTAGACAACACAAGGCAAAGCAATGGATAAAAACCTAAAATAGCAGGCTAAAATATGTTTTTTGTATCCAATGGAAAACAGACGCTTTTATTAATTGGTAGCTTGATGTATTGAAAAAACAATTATACAGCTATACATTCAATTTTAAGTAAAGAAAAGTTGTTTTATTTTTACAAAGCAGAAAAATTTAGCTATGACAGAGGACGTTTAACGGCTCCATTAAATACATTACGTTTGCTCAAATGAGAAAAAGAACGTGCCTTTTTGTTTTTAATTAAACCCTAAACGCCCATGCGTTTAGGATTTAATTAAATATTAATATGACATTTGTAAAATCGCACATCACAGATGTTGAATAAACTTTAGATGGAAGCATGGATACACACCATTTCATTTTGTACACCTTCATACTACATTAGAAGAAGAAAAAAAGTTTTGCTGGCTGGCGTGCTCACGGGCGGGCAAATCACGCGGTGGTGACCTCACCGAGCACATGGACGCGATGACGTCATCCGCATCCCACAGCGTTGGGCCAGGTCCGTGCGTCCCGACGTCATACTTCCACCCCACCCTCCACCCCGATATCATACAAACTACGTTAGAGAATTCTAGATTTGAAGCTTTCGTGACTGCAAAGATTCATAATCTGAATTTTTTCGGTAAAGTCAAGTAGGTAAAAAAATTAAAATTATTTTATTTTTATTAATTTTTCTTTCATTTTTTTTACCTACGTGACTTTACCGAAAAAACTAAGAGTATACGTTAGAGAAACGTTGACTGGCGGGTGGGAGTTAGCGAGGGATGTGTGGACACGTCCGAAGGTCGTGCCGGCTGCTAGTTGTCTAAAAAAAAAACCATAAATTGTGTTGAGTAGAGTTCTGCTGAGACCTAAGCAGAACGTAATTTCTAAATGGAATGCAGGATTTCCCAGGGCACGTTCAACCCCCGGGTAGCTCCCGTAACAGTGGAAGTAAAGTGATTTGCAAACAGCAAGTGCAATATAAGTGTCCACACTTCAAAAGGGGACACATTGTTGCTTTGCATTTGCTCGCATGGCCCAATTCCACTGAAATGTAATTTACTGCTGACACACTGCTCATGTGACACGTTGCAGTGGTAAACATGGGCATTGGGTGTCTGCTACGAGAGGCTGAGCGAAGTCGTCCATGCCCGAAACATTTCTTGGCGAAACACTTACGTTTGTCACCTGTCCAAATCATAGAAAATAATTGACATTCACAATTATGTAAGCTCGTCGATACACTCAATAGATATACAATGAGCTGGTTCATCATCCAGTAGACAGGTTACTTTATATTTATCGTATGTTAAAATAAGATGTTAACGAATGCCATTTCCCTACTATTGACCTCAATTGAACCTACGCACAAGTGTGTTAACGGTTTTCTGAAGGAAATCAATCGGCTACAATCCTGAAGAATTAATTTCGCCGCAAATAGGCACGAAAACAAGAAATCATTTGATAAACAACCACAGCCAATGCAGCATTCTCCAGAGGAGATCACTTTCAGGCCAATTTTCTCTTCTACATCAATCGCGTGAGAACGCTAATTATGTCTGTACAACACACGTGAGTGGTATCGTAATCAGTCATGGGCCATCCACCCTTCACCAACCCGCACAGACCACGATGGTCAAATTTGTTGAAACAACCTCCACATGACGAGCCCGGCACGTGGGTGGGATTCATCGGGTGGTGCATCTACAAAGGGCCGACGTCACTATTATTTTTGGTTAACGTAAGCATCATTGTGCAGTTGACAAGAAAAATCAAAGGGTGGATATGCTTCGTTTCCATTGCCATCCACTCGTGGACTGCACCCCTTTGCAAATTGCAAAGCTAATTAATTGTTAGAAATGATCGAGTGCCGCTGGAGGTTGTCAACACCGGTTGTGATTAGCAAGAGGTACGTGTTGCCAAACACACCTGAAGACTCGTGTTTAGTGCTGTGGATGGATTACATTTGTAGTGACATCAAGAAAGTCACTCTATGGTGCCAGCCCAAGAGGGGCATGGCGTGCGATGTACATCACGGATGCGGCAGCATCGTGCATGTCACCGAGCAATGCCGGCTCCAGCAAGGCACGGCGTGCGATGCACCGTCACCGCGTACACCCGTGGGTGGGTGTAGTACCAGCCCTGGTGAGGGCTTGGTGAGCGCTGGGATAGCGCAGTGGCACCACGCGTGACACGCAGTGCGGGCTCCCATCGGAGGGAGCGGGAGAGTGTCAGCCCAGGGACAGGGTTGTTACCCTGGGCCATGGCACTCTGGTTGACCCCGAAGGCACGTGACCGGTAAAGTGTACAGGGGGGGCCCCAGGTGGGGGCTAAGGTGTGGTCACGTGTCTGGCAAAGTTGTCTCAAGAAGAGTCGAGAGAGAGCGCCAGAACTCTCTCTCGAAGGTGGGCGGAGCCAAGGGCGGGGCCGGCCCAGGAGCATATAAGCGGGGTCCCCGGCAAGGACTGGGGTTCTGCATTGCTACCATCATCTGAAGATCTACGTTCTACGTAGAGAAGAGTTTCCAACACGTGGTCTCGGACCCGAGCCAGGGTCTGGTCCCAGTGTGTTGGTGTAGTTAGCCGGGTGGTCCACCACCCGAGGCTGTTATCTGGTAAAGGGGCAGCTTCTCTTTGTGTATTCGTGTTGGTGTAATAAATGTGTTGCCTCGAAGAAGTACGTCTGCGACTCGTCGGGCCCACTAAACATTGTTAGATGCGTTTAGTACTCGTATAGATAATCTCGCGATGCGCAATGATACACAACCGTGAGGAGGAATTCAGGACTAATATTTACAGCTTTCCTGCTGATAATAATAAAGTACATGTATAAAGCACCTTCTACAAGATACACAAGGCGCTGTACATGCCACATAAATAAATAACATGTTGGCAAAGGGGGGAGAGCAAACTTAAGAAGTAGAGGAGCTAATTGTGAGAACCGAAAGCAAAGAGAGAATGGAATTGCATCTCGAGGTGGGCTTCCAAACACCGCCATTGACCACCCTGGGGCAAGGTGCTCGTTCCTGGGGCAATGTGCTCGTTCCACAGCCGGGGAGCATCGCAAGAGACAAGGCTCGTGAAGCACCCGGTGTGCGAAGGAGCCACGACCGGGAAATGCTCCACTGGCACCGCTGGCCACCGAAGAGACGAACGAAGCCTTCGGGATGGTCACAAATACTGGGGTCAGCAAATCTGATGAGACTCAGAAAGTCAACGCTGGTAACACGTTTGTTGCTGTAACAACATTGCTGTTGGAAAACATTGGCGTGGAAAGCCTATAGGCCACTGGAACTGAGAAAAAAAATCTGTTTATTTGTACATGTAAAATTGGGTGTTTTCTCCTCTTTAATGTTCTAGTACTTGTTTACATTAGACACACCGCATATATAGATACTGCAGCAGGTAGGACTCACCCAGTGTGGTATTTGAAAGCTCCAATACACACACTGCGATCATTTATATTATCAGGACTGAAGATCATTATGCACTTTTAATCAGTGCCCTTTGTTCATGAGCCAATAACGATTGCAACCGTTTTGCCAGCTGAGCGGAACAGCGTGGGGCTAGCACGTGGTAAAGGTCAATTGTTGTTGTCGTCGGCGGCTGTGAGCGCTATTTAACTACGAGGGTTGCACTGGATGAAAATCCTTCACTGGAATGGTCGTTGTTCATGACGTTATAACTCACTAGAGCAGTGTTCTTCAATGCAAGGCTTGCAAGCCACCAATGGTTTCAAATGTGTGGCGGCCCTCACATTGATGTCTTATCGGTGAAAGTGGCCTCCCCTCTGAAAAATAGTGATGAACAACTCCTGCGGTAGAGTTTCCTACACACGCGCGTGCACGATGTGGTATTGTACAAAATGCGCATTGAGCACACAAGATAACTTGTGTCCAAAGCTGTAATGAATGTGCTCGGGTGTATTCACACTTACAGTGAATGGTATCGGTTTCTTCTCATCCAAGTCTCACCAAACAAATGGAGTTATCTCAGCCTGGAAGCCAACTGAACTTAAACTATGGTTGGAGTGTTTTTTGTTCTTCACATTCAGATATATGGCTAATTGATTCTTGGATAGAGCAGTAGTACAGTGGTGAGCACACTGCTTTATAAACCCAGTAGACCTGGGTTGAATTCCTGACCACGGATAGCATCAGTGGTGGGCGAGATCAGAACTGTTCTCGGCCTCTGCTCACCAAGACATGACCTACACGCACTTACCAGCATGGTTTAGTCAAGTCATACAATCCCCACGACCCACGTGGTATTGGAAGGCCTTCGTCCAGCAGTGGATTGACAAAATGCTATATATTCTTTTATTCGTAGGATTTAAATGATTCGTTTAGAGTTTATGCTGTATATACATAAGTGTACGTTTGATGCCCAACAAAACTAACTTTCACACAAGAGTACACTTGACAGATCCCGTCGACGAATCGCGACGTTTAAATATGCAGGAAGGGCACAGTTTTAAGTGACGTTTTAAATGTCGCACAGCAGCAGTTCCTTCCTGCAGATCTCCACAACATCCGCCGGCATTGCGGGACGAGAGTCACACCGTGATTATTGTTAATTGATAAAATAAGAAACACAAGCCAGACCACCCACCCTGGGTTACATTTAATGACCAATAATGGAGGTGGTCAGGTAGCTAGGAGGTCAGAGCAACGAGACAGCATCACTAAGATCCTGGGTTGGAAATCAGGTTTCAGTCGCCCATGGTTGATTCAGGGTTTTTCTTTTTTGGGTTAGAGCGCGTAAATATGAATGTGTCGTTAAACCCGCAATCACCCCGACACAGCCAATGAGTAAGATTTGTCACGTAAACAACATATTTACGTAAACAAAACTGTCTATGTGACAAACCTTACAAATTGGCTGTGTCGGGTGGTGGCGGGTGTAATGACACATTTATATTTAAGTGATCTAACCCAAAATAATTATTTTAGATAATATTGATCGTGAAAGCCGGCGCGTTAAACTGATCAAATCAGGTTATCCAGTGTAATAAGGTTTCTAGGCTTACCCTGGTCACCAATCACTGCACAAGATGCAATCAAATGAAATTAGGTTCAAACATAATTGATCAAAATTTCATCTGTGAAATAAATAAATAAAATATCTAGATTTGACTTCCACGTGACAAACAGGGCATGTGGGAAAGAGCAGCACCAACTTGCGTGTGGCGAAAACTAAACTATTTTATTTAGCAGGTACAACTCACCGATATATTGTCAAAGGAAACAGCCAAACAATCTAAGTACCTGTTTCTAAATGTGGAGTGAAAAACCGGTGAAAAATCCACGCAACTATATGGAGAACATGAAAACTCCAAATATACTGTACAGGCATTGTCAGGGTCGGGGTCGAACCCACGGCCTCCTGCATAGCAGGCGATGGAGGTAATCATTTACATTTATAAGGCGCAATTCATCCAGGGATCTCAGTGTGCCAGATAACATATCGCGTCTCGCCACCGCTTGATGGGATCTCATTTGCGAATCTCTTCCTGCATGCCGTTCTCTCGCACGCGGTGCCCTGCTCTGCGAGAATTCCAGAAGCAGGGGACATGACACCGATAACGCAATTGGGGGGGTGGGAGGGGGTGTAAAAACAAAACAACTTGGGAGAAAACGATCAATTTTTTTAAAATCTGAAACTCTACTCAATTGTTGATAGGAGGACGAATAGGAGTCTCATCACAGCGGCATCTTCAGCCGTCAAGAAGAAGAAGAAGCAGCAGCAGCAGCTCACGAGTCACATTGCGGTGGCCCCATGGTTTCCCTGGCCACGGTCGTAGTTGGCGGTGTTCACTCCATTGCTGGCCGCCTCTTCCTCCAGGTAGCCTCTTTTCATTACGGCCGCAATGTAGCGGAAGAGACACTGCCAAGGACCACATGGAGGCACACGCACACACACACATAACTCATACCGTCCTCAAAGACGACAACTGCAACACCCGACAGTAAATCGGACAACATCTCGTTCGAAACCAATCCCCCTGTTTAATAAGTGGCCACAAAATGGGATTTCTCACAGCCTGTGGATTTTGACAATGTTAAAAAAACAGATTCACTTGTATAGATCCCTTTCCACGGAAATCCAATTGGAAACACTCTCCACGGTGGGAGGCTGTCAGGAGCAATGTGAAACACTCTCAACCCCAAGCTTTCGGGGGGAATCCCCTGCTAGGATTGGAAAACTGGATCGTAAAACGAATCTCACGTCACTTTATATATACATCCTTATTCTCTGGGGTGCCTATTCAAATTAAAGGCCAAATACGCTTGTTGTTTTGTTGGTCTGGGATTTGCGGGTTCAAATCAGGCCTCAGCCCTCTAAGTTGCTGCTCCCACGGCGTGGCGTAAAGGGAACAACGACATTACGAGAGCACAGGACGGTGTTATCCACTATTAAAGCTTAATGCTGCCTATATAATCAGAATTTTTATTTAAACTGCAGAAATCCGATGAGCTATGAAGCTCTTTTTCACAGATGTCCAGTCAGGACAACATCGACGGAAATTAATTAACTGGCTTCTTCATGGACGTTCACAACATCATAGCACGATATATATTTCAGCCAAGTAATTCCAATGGTGAAACCAGGCATCTAACAGTTTAATTTATTTGGAATAACCCTGTGTGCCATTCGGCTCTTGATTCGGGTGCAACCGCAACAAACAATACAATTACAAGATACATTTAAAAATTTACTGTACGCAAATTGAAACGTGCGAAATATCAGGATAACCAAAATGTAATCAAGAGATTTATGTTGGTTCATGGGAGAAATGTTTTAGGTTTTGTTCACTTGCACGAAAAAGACAAAGATCCTACTTTTCGCATGAATGACCACAAAAGAAGGTGATGTACATGAGTGCCTATTAAGGTCCTTGTGGAACAGTTGTGCGTGACTAGCACCGTGCCCTGCTAGCATTGTCTCCACAATGTTGATGTTTGCACATCACACCAGGCACACATTTTATGTTTGGTTGACATAGGGAAGGTCAAAGACAGGTTCAGCTATTAATTGTTACTGATATGAGCCATAGTTAGTAATTGAACCCAGGTCTCCAATTCTCCCCACTTTCTTACCCACGCACTTATTTTCCCAACTTTATTCCAATTGCTCTCTCGGCATCATCTCATGAGACCAAGTACCCATTTGGAAATCTCAGGGAAGTTGCAACCTCATTAATTACATAATGGCCCACAGAATGACATTTCATAGAACTACTTCTGAAATCCCTTCAAGTGACCTTTTCTGCACACACACCCAGAGGTGCCACTTTCCTACATCCCCTGCTCCGGAGAAAAGCTCATCACAGCATGTACATTAAAACATTTAAATCTCTGAGCTGGAACAAAAACATAATTTATTGCAAAGAAACTATTTCATGGGATATTTAGTTTTCCTATATTCTTTAGTGACCAAGCGGAGACAATTTTTGGTTTGGTTATCACAATAGGCTGCCCAGACTCGAGCCGAGAATCTCAGCAGTGTTTGACCCAGTGGTCTGACCCCTTCACAGCCACACTTCTCTTGATCAGCAGGTGGGCAAAAAACAGCCTTACCTGCCAGGCATCTTCTACCTCATTAGTCCACTTCTCCTGCAGGAAAGGTTGAACCGTAGCGATGAATTCGATGCCCACAAACTGCAAGCGACATCACAATGAGTCACAGGCACGGCAGACACAAACGTCACACGCATAGCCGGCTGCCAAGCGCACGCAACTGTGGATGTTGCAGTCCTTGGAAAATGCACAACTTCAATTCACCCATCAGAAACACTTGAGTAATTATTTTATAGCAGGAATCAACAAAAGGTAACCCTGGCCACCTTTTCCATTATGTCCCTGCAGTCCAATTTGGGCAGTTATTGTGTGCTGTGAAGTGCACTTCGGAAAAAAATAATTGGGGAAAACAGCTCTCGTTGTTTGACATCATCATTGACATCCCACAGTCTGGCGTGGATGTTTGATTTTGACGCATTGTGGAGAATGCCCAATAGACAGCACGGCTGCACAATCATCGACTCCTTCAAGGCATCGCATGCGACATATATTATGTTGGCAGCAAATTTTTTTTATATTCCTGCTTCAACAAATCTTCGACAGACTGCACCACAAAACGCTGCGGCGAGTGAGTTTTCTCCAAACTTTGTGCTTCAGTCAAATCAGACGTGACGTGCGAATTGCTTTGCGGAAGGTGACACTGCTGTACAACGAACAAACACCAGTCGTCAATAATGGTGTCTTTTTATGTGCTGCGAAGAAGGCCCATTGCTTGAAACGTTGCGAGTTACATATATTTTTTTCTTTTTAAGGCCACAGTGTCATTGACAAACGAGTTGAGGCTTTTGCTATATTTCACCTGTGCACAACGGCCAATGCAGTTCCAGCAAATAGTTGGTTTAAACTTTGCTATGAAACGGCGCTGTGAGCCTGGATGTACGTGAGCGATACACCATGAAAAATAATTGGCCGAATTTAGGCAATCTGCATTGGTGCATATGAACATTTTAACAAAATGTAACGACATTTTGTACTGTTTTTGGTTTCTATATTTCATCTTAATACGTTTCCTTCATAACTAATATTTGCAATGCCTAAATATAATAAATGTATTTGTTTGTGTGCAAAATTAATTTTGTTAAATTGTACTGTTTACGTGTAAGTGACGTATTGCTGCTATTTCCAGGACCCTCTTGCAAATTAGATGCAAATCTCAAGGTTTTTTTTTTCTGGTTGAATATAATACATCACTGTTTTTGAATATTTATCGCATGTATATGTGCCTTTTTGTAATCCTACTGCTGAATGTGAGCCTCCCCATGCTGTGAGTGGTTGTCATTTGACCATACCTCACCACGCTGGTCAGTGCGGGTTGGTGAATGCGGAGAGCATAGACGTTCGAGCATAGTACAGTACAACAATGGATTTTTCTGGACTGCCCTCTGCTGACAACATAGCCTAACAGCGGCGTATAACTCCATGTTTTGCACATGATAATTGCCCATATGAGCACTATCCAGGCTAAATTCTGCTTACCTTCTGATATCCGATTAGGCCGAGTGCTCTCTGGGTAATTTGGTCATGGAGGTAAATATAGTGTGCCAGCGATACATTTACACAGGACGCCAACGTATGCGATTGCTTTTGTAAAATAGCCAAGAAAAGCAAAGGGCGTCAGGTTTTGAGTACGCATCAGGATTCACCGACAACGCACAGCGACTTGCTGCTGTGGTATGAGTGAGTGCCGTACCGAGTAGTATTTTGGGGACGCGTTGTACTTGTAGTGTTTCCTGCCCATCTCCACGATCAGCTGTTCCAACACGCACTCCTGCTCCAGCCGAGCCACGCTTTTCTCGATAAACGACATCACCCTGGAGATATAACGTTCAAAAGCATCGATGATGTTTGCAATTGAAAATGTAACCGTTACTTTGTACACACACCCATTTGTGTTTCCCAGTACATGTGTAGATGTGCAGAATAATGGCAAGTTTACAACCCTTTGTCAATGCACTTCTAGATAAAGGACTCACGTTATGTCACCACCACACAGGTCAATGCTTATTGGTAAAGGAGGGCCGATAACTAGATACCACTCCTCATTTAACTTACCTATTGCCAGGAATCAAACTTAGATAACAGGCTTCATGTATGTGTGTAATTCTAATGCGCATGTGGTTGCACATAAATTAGACATGCGACAATTACATGCCCAACTAGTCGATGATTATCTTGATTGCAGGGTCATGATTTAATTCGAGACCATATTTGTTTTTGTGTTATTTTTGCCATCTCATTTCCACCATTTCTTGTTCGTCTTATTCCATTTGTGTAATCATATTCACTGCATCCTGAATGCAACTTTGGGATATCATACGGATATTGTCACCATAATCAATCGTGGTATATTCAGTGCTAGATACAGGCAAATCCAAAAATATCTCAATTGATCTTGCGAGGCAACAATCGATCCCAACTCTCCTCCTTTGGCTGCCACCCCATCATTAGTCTCGACTACCTGCCACCATCCTTTGAGCGACGCATCCTGCCCAAAGTCCACGCACATTTCACAACAGTCCTTGCGATCATTGGTACCTCATTTGCCAGTAGCAAAATATGATAATTGTTTTTTTTACCCTTTTATCTGGCAACAAAACTGACACCTTTTTTACGAGGAGTCATGTTTGCATAGACCACAATACCTGCGGTCATAATGCAAACAAAAAACACAACTCTGATAATGTATGCACTGTCCTTGAAGTTGATTGGTCCACACCCGAAACAGCTTTTCTTAGAGCCTAGTCTCAGAACCTAGTCTCACATGGGGTTGGACCATCTGGTCCAACACCATGTGAGACTAGGCTCTAAGAAAAGCTGTCTCGGGTGTGGACCAATCAACTTCAAGGACAGTGCATACATTATCAGAGTTGTGTTTTTTGTTTGCATTATGACCGCAGGTATTGTGGTCTATGCAAACATGACTCCTCGTAAAAAAGGTGTCAGTTTTGTTGCCAGATTAAAGGGTAAAAAAACAATTATCAGTCCTTGCGATGTCTCTAATTTGCACTACGTTCTCTAATCCACGCATGTGCCCTTTCCATGCCGCTTTGTGCACCTTTTTCAGATTTTTGTTCAGCCTTTTTTGTCAACGTCCGTGCTTCTGATTTACATGTCATTTTCCTAAGTAATACGTAATACGTTTTCACGCACAATTCAACGCGTGTGTCGTGAGTGTAAGGATTCAAATGAATCGATTAATCAATGGCTTAATTACACGGCTAATAAATTGGCCGTTAAAAGTGCTCATCTGGCAACAGTATTATTATGGATTCCTAAATCGACAAAAGTAGCCAACGAGATGCTTTAAAAAAGGTTCTCGTGTGCACATTTACATGAGTTAGCGTGTGTTAAAGTCCGTGGTGATTAGAGCTGCCACTTCCATTGAACGCATTTATTGACTGCGCATTTATTTCCCACCACAGCTTCCCCAGCAGTAATTTGAAACAGCGCAAATGAGAAATGTGCTTTCCCTGAAGTGAAAATGCTGAGAAGCACCAATCAGGTTTTTCTTTGGTAAGCGGAAGGTGACAATGGCGACCAACAGAATGTTAGAAGACGTTTACCTTTATCAGGATTTATGCAATGGGAAAGTCAATTTTCAACCGGCCCAATAGAGAGCACAGCCTGGAATCTGGCTGCACAAGATGCTTGAGAGAAATGCTACACGGTGTTCTCGTTGGTCCTCTGCAAGATAGGAAGTCTCATGATAGCTCCTCTATCTGACCATGAACTTTCCTTGTTTATTTCGCTGTACGGGCAATCGGCATATTTCACCCTTCACTCATTACACTAAATATGGTGATTCCACAAATGTTTATCTTACGTTGGGAACATTCATCACGTGGCCAGTGCTTCCTTGGCTAGACCAATAAGTATCTAATTCACTTTCCCCAAAGTTAACAACAATGGCAATTGTCCATTATGAATTATTTTATTCATGTATGTTCATAAGATGCTACTTTGGTGTAATGGTTGGCACACTAATCCAAAGGTCGCTAATTCAAGTATTTTAAAATTCTTTATTTATTTTAAACAAATTTTACCAGTGTAGGTCCACTGAGCTATATAACTGTTTTTAATAAGCGACTTGGCCACAAATGATAGCTAGTCGAAGTGGCTTTATCACGTGGAAATGTATAGCAGACAAATAATCTGAACGCATGTTTTTTTAATGTGGAAGGAAAACCCTGAGGACCCAGAGAAAATTCCACACGACCACGGAGAAAACACGCAAACTTCAAATATACAGCAGCAGGCGTCAGGTTCGGTATCGAACCCACGACCTCCTTCATACCAGGCGAGATAGTTAACATCTCACCACGGCGGCACCCCACGTCTCCTGGTGCGGCAGTTGAAGCAATGGGCAAGTTTCTCAAATCTTCCCTGCCTCTGTCCACCCAGTAGTTATGAATGGGCGTGCCATTGTTAGTCAATCTGCAGATTGTGTGTGGTGGGGTAAAGTGTGGGTGCTCCCACCTAGTCTGAGATGTCTGGCCAGCAGAGAAAACTTGGCCGAAATACCCTCAACAGAAGGCCCTCCTGCCAGACATGTCATGAGAAAGACATTGCTGGGTAGCTACCTTTACACAGGCATATGAAGAACGACAGCAGTCCTTCGTGGCTATCTACATTTGTTCATGTTCTGGCAGAAGCAGGAGGTTCGCATGACTTATACCTTCGAATCAAATTTTTTTGCAAACATTGCGGAACATCTGAGGATACCTTTACTATTTAATATTGGTGAACCTGGAATAGAGCATAAGGTCGTGTGCAAAGACATGAGGCGATAATGCATTCCGTTTGGACACCAAGGAAGATGGTGTTTGTCTTCATCAGAATAAACATCAAGGTGAGCAAAGGGTTGAATGCAAATTTCACGACCGAGCCGTACTCAAATTTCATTTAAATTCAATTATATAGGAGGATTTCCAATTTTCCACTGACGGGAATTAGCAAGGAACCCCGTGTGAAATCATAATTGATACTTTTTTGTGTGTAACTAAGACAATCAATGGAGTTAACTATGCCATCAGATTTATTGTACCCGTCATTGAGATAAATGTTTATAACAAATGTAAAATAAACTCCCCACACAATCTCAATCAACACCCAACAGAGAAATGGGCCATTACATTGACAAATGACACGTGACAATCACGGACAGGGTGCACACTTTACTGCCTTCTGACAGAGGTCGTTTGTCAATGTGATATAAACAGCATTCACGCTGCACCAAGCTTCATCGGCTTACACTTCAGACGGTGATTCGTACATAAATAAATAAAGAGAAATTACTTGGCTCACGAAACTAGGCAATTTAATATATGGCCTTTAATAAGCATTAAATATGAATGAATTATTCAAAGGCGAAAACAAAAGTGCAATTAATGTGGTGTAGAAATAAAGCGTGTTGAACATGAAAAAAACGGGTGAAAACAAATAGTCCAGGACGTTCTGTAGAAAATACTGAACGTACGCAAATGCAATTAATCTGTGCGTTTTACCAAAGTCTTTCCTAATTTCTGATCAAATGTTTTGCAAAAAAGCGGTGCCGCAAGCACTTTACCTCAGCCCATGTGCCTGCAGTTGCTTGTTCATCTTCAGTTTCTGGAGGTCCTCGCAATCTCGGAACTGATAAAACACATCCTTGCATTCGGGATGGGTTTCGAACAGCCTGCGTGGGGTGAAACGCCAGCGTCGAAACATCGCCAACATCGAACACAGTAAATTAACAAAGCATCAACAACGTGCAAGACATTTTGGGTTAACGCTGTCTCAATGGAATGGGCAACACTTTCAATTTCCTCTTTTGAGTGGGGTGGTCCAAACGAAAATATGTTATGAAAATGGACCACTGCCCAAAACGTTCTTTGAAGTCAAATGTTTTTGATGAATGTGTTCAGGAGTGTTTTTGTTAATTATTATCTGTGCCTGTGCACTACTGCCGACGCAGGATCAGCAAACAATGTGTCAAATAATAATCCATAATACAGATTTTAATGCATCGTTAAACCCGCCAACACCCGACACAGCCAACACAATCTAACCCAAAAAACTGCATTATGGATGATATTGGCCGCGAAAGCCCTACGTGCTAAACTCAAATAAAAATATGGACAAACTTTCAGCTCTCTTTAGAGGCGAGGCCGATAGCATTGTACTGTACCTGCAAAGCGGTCAACGAATGACATGCATGTCATGCTTGCAAGGCATGTGGAGATTCGTGCATTCCTGCATTCTGTGAGCACACTGTGACATGTCGTTGTTTCTGTTTGTGTCCAGCCTGCAAGCATTTCCCCCTCTTTATGGATTTTTTTAAGCGATGAATTTAAGACAATGTAAACGACACATTTTAAATGTCAAGAAGTGTCACGATTGCAATACAGCAGTACGTGGATCTATATCGCGTTAACACGTGATAACATTTCAAGACGCTTGTACGGGAACAGTGTGGATATGTATTTTGTAGAGGCAGTCAGTCATAGGCGGAGGCAGTGGAGCCTGGACTTGACCATTTAGGGAGTCGACAGCACACGTGACAAGAGGAAGCGAGTTCCAGACTGTGGGGGCATCAGAGCTGATGGAGGGAGAGAGAGAACGAATCTTGTGGTGGATTTTCTTGGTATTTCTATGGTATCTACTATTTGTGTTTGCCTATGTTATACAAACAGAACTGACCTTTTGTGAAGATGCATGCTACCTATATGCGCAGGAGCGGCAACGCAGTGGTTGATGGACAGCACTAAAGATGGCTACTGATTTTAAATAGCGCCCATGGCTCACATCAGCCCAGAGTGATAACTGAACCCTTAGCGCCCTTTGCCAACCTGCATTGGCCAAATCCACCCCATGATTAACCCAGCATTGGGAGGTCTTTATCCAGCAGTGGATTGACATTGTGCCGCAAAATATGCAACCAAAATAACAAGAAGAGACATTTTTTGTTCGAATTTGGTAAAAAAAAAAAGTCAATATTTCAATAGCCACAATGCGCTGTGGTGAATACGAGATGATGGGGACCTTAATAATAAAAACCGTCACTAAGCGGTCCTTAAAGAGCCGCACGCCGCTGTGGAGCTACAGGTCGTAGACCCCTGAACTAGACAGCAGACAGCTCGCTCCATCACAAGGCAGTGACTTGGGGAGGCCTTCATCCGGCAGTCGATAGATCATGGTCGATGATGACGATGATATGGGGAAGACAAATTATGCCTAAAATAATACGTATGGAATATACTCTGGAAATGCCATTTCTAAGGGAATTGCAGTCATCTCTGTGAGAAGATATAGAGGCAATCTTGAGACATCGAATCAACATTCAACAGCAATGCAGTCGTCCGTAGGAATATACACACATATATATATAACATTTGCACCTGCAGCACTGTACAATTGACACATTAAAACTAACGGCAGGTGGTCACGCCAATTACAGCCATTTGCTTATTTTCTAAAAAAATAAGTTCGTGCAGTGTTTTGCGATTTAAAATAAAAGAATTTTATTGCAAGATAGTAACGAATATGCTTTTTTTAAACACACAGGACCCTTGCATGGGTGGTCCTAATTAAATGGTGTGTTCAGTGTTCTGTGTGGAACAAAGCCATCCTGCAACTCGACAGTACATTTTTCCAAGTACATTTATCACCCACACTGTCAATGACATAATCAGCATGGCCAGTCTGTTAATTTAGGTGACGTTAGTGTATTAAGTATAGTAAGCGAGTGCGCGTGCGAGCGCACATGTTTGTACGGGTGTGTATGTATGCATGCTGAACGTCTTTTGCACCGTACGTAGCCAACCGTGTTCATCGGAGGTGGGGCAGTGGTGGCCCCCACGGCACAATACAACTCGGCAACCTCAGTTCGATTGCTGGCCACAGCTGACATCAATGGTAAGCGATATCAAAACCTGTCCCTGAGTTTGCCCAAGGCACCCTGGCATGCTCTTCACACAACCCCACTCATGCACCATGCTCGCAAAATGGAACGCGCTCCAAAAGCCCATAAGGCTGTATGTGGGATACGTAGGGATCTATGTCTGTGAGTGAATTTTCATGACCAACATATCTCACAAGGGAATGGGTTTTGTCTTTTAGGGAAAGGTCAGATGAGGACCAAAATGCTTTAGCGAACACGGAGATTACCGGTGACAGCAGAGCCATATCCATTCTTGAGCATACAGTTAGGCCACGCGTGGTGTTTGTTTAACAAATATCACGATACTTTCAGAATTATGTTTACCAATTGCACCGTGCTGCTCACAGTGAAGCCCAAATCATATGCCATACAAATTCGATGCTTTCTCGAGCCCTTCAATTGTGTATTTGTGTCCTCACAATCGAATGCAGAGTATGAAAAAATATATACAGTTAGTTCACTGTGGCAATGAGCATCTTTGTCACTCAGCCAATTATTTACTTTCTTAACAAATAAGCAATTGTATATATATACACACACGAAATGTTTGACCAAAAATCCAATTATGGGCTTGCACAGGTTATTATGTGCAACAACAAAGACCAAACGATCTGATACAACAACCCATTCCTTCAATACAAAGACCTCCCGGGATATTGGGTGCCCTCGTAAACATAACAATAGTAAGCGAATGTTCAAACACAAAAATAGCAATTCTGGATAAAGGCTTCCCCACTCCATATTTGGCCATGGGGTTGTTTTGCCATACATCACCAAGCTGGTACATCATGCGAGTTGGTCAAGTAGGGGAGTGGCGGAGGGAGTGGGGTAATGCAACCTTCACCACTGACGTTAGCTCTGGCTGCAAATTGAACACAGGAAGCTGGGTCCATAGCACATTGCGTTAACCTGGTTTCCATCGCTACATCCCATTTTATTGTTAATTCATTTTTTATTGCTGCGTTTTTATGTGTTCCGCTAAGATCATTATACAAGATAATTCTAAACTTTTATTCAGGACACATGAACCTGTTGGTGTGGAATCTTACAATACCCAAACATGTATTTGTGAGTCACCATGATCCACACGCGCACACACAACATAGACAGAAATAGCCGCGGTGTGAAAATGTTATTTTTTATATCATAGCATGTGAATGTTGTTAATTGGAGGTTGTGTTGAGAGTCACCCATTTGGAGATGACCGGGTGGCTCAGATAGCAAATGTGTGAGAGAAATGTTATTTGATAAGGCTGGATTTCCAATATGGGTTTGGGATCAAACACACTTCTCTAGTGTGGTGAGTTGTATGGTCTCATCTCAGTCGCAACTGGTAGCACACGATAAAACATTATCATTGATTAAGTTCTTCACTCGGATGGGCATATTCCAGCTTTATTAATACACATTATTGGTGTGATTATTACATGAATAACACTGTTTGCATGACATGTTAAATGTTTTACTGAATTAAAGTAGGGTGACATCCACTTAATCAATTCGAGCCTCTAGACATTTGAATCCGTCACTCAGAGTCAGCCTACGATCAGGCACCTGCGAGCATCGTTTTTTGATGTTAACCATTTTTTTTACGGCAATTAGTTTTGAAAATTTATTTAGCCTGCAATGTGTTTTTTCTCTCATATTTTTGCCTGTGCTTAAGTACAGCATCGTTACAGTCTGCTGTCGCTTTCTGTGTTTAAGTTGTTGAAGACAAAGTGACGATATGGGGTTTGTCCATTAGAATCGAATCAATCTCATTCCCAAGTTCACCATGTGAAGCTTGTTGTGGACAAAGAGACCCCTTTGAGTAATTGTGACATCTTCCAGGGTCATTCTGTGGCACAATGAGATGCGCTGCTTGCTACAATTGTTTAGAATGGATTGTTAAAAAAAATATCATGGCACGATACCAACAGCACAATTGAAACATTTATTTGTAGAGAAAATAAAAAAGGAATACTGTATTGGTCTGTTGCTCTCTACGAGTCATTTTCACACACGGAAGAAAGTGTTATGGGGGGGAAAACTGACAAAAAAACGATTTGGCGAGTGACCACGAGCTGCAAATCTTCGTCTCGACTGTAACCTGCAATTGCGAGGTGACACACTGCTCGCTTTGGTGATCTTCCACAAGAATCGGCTTTTTTTTTAATTTCGTTTAATCTACGACGGCTCCTGCATACATATTCTCTAGATTATATGACGCTACGGAAAGTAAGATGCACCCAAAACGTTGTGCCCGGTGTTAATAAAGTGATACAAATCTTGTCACACACACAGCTACCGAATGACAAGATGCAATCTCACTTTTTGATTTAAAACACAGGCTAAAAAGTGAGTCTTATAATCTAGAAGATACAGTCATTATAATTGTCCAAGTATCTCTGGCCCAGCCATCGCGGTCATCAAGTTTGCTCTTCTCTCCGATATTAGAAAGCCACTGGAGCTATGCACTTTTAAATCTAAATTGAATAATAATTTCTTGAGAACTGCTTTTCAGGTTTAGTTTGTTGTCCTTCCCCTGCACATCCGATTAGCACGGTTGGCTACGTACGGTGCGAAGGAAGTTAAACATACATACAGATGGGTAATGCATTTTAATGGGGCCCTTGCCTGGATTGATAAAAGGACAACGCTTGATAGATGAATTGATTGAAAGTAAATGGCACGCAATTTAAACTGCGCGCAGTCCAATGGGCCATGAGAACCGGGCTAATGTGCCCTCGGATCAATCACAATGGAAGGCAGCTTCA